TCCTTCAAGATGTCCGTTGGCGGTCTCGGCATGGCATCAGTCGGGACACTAATCTCCTGGGTCCTCATGAGCTACATCGGCCGTCGAAAGCTTTACCTCTGGGGCCTCGGTGGTTTAGCAGCCATCCTCTTCATCGTCGGGTTCATCAGCGTAGGCGCCGGCGACTCGTCCGGCGGCAACTACGCCCAAGCTGCTATGATGATCATCTGGCTCTTCTGGTACTACATGACTGTCGGTCCCATCTGCTACGCCATTGTCGGAGAGGTCTCGTCCACGCGTCTTCGCAGTAAGAGTGTGTGTCTAGCTCGCATTAGCTACTACATCGCTCAGATCCTCACCAATGTGATCAATCCGTATATGCTGAACCCCACTGCGGGTGATTGGAAGGGCAAGACGGGCTTCTTCTGGGGTGGAGGCGCATTGATCTTTTTCGTTTGGACGTTCTTCCGTCTTCCTGAGACGAAGGGCAGGACGTATGAGGAGTTGGATATTATGTTTGCTGAGGGCTTGCCTGCGAGGGCGTTTGCGAAACATAGTATTGATGCGTATGCGTATGCGCATGGGGATGAGGGTGATCGTAAGGTCAAGGCTGTGGAGTGAGAGTACACTCTGGGAGCTATCTCGTCCCATGGTATGTGGGAAACCTATTCCAAGTAGTAATGCATTCGCTTTAGTGCTACAAGTAAATCTGGGAGTCGCGTGTGGGGTAGACCAGATCCACAGCTTCTCCACTAGTGACAGGGCGGAGATAAGAGCACCTGATAACGCGTTTGATCCGTGCGCCCCCTGCCACCACGCTACGACGCGTTTGTCTAGAACTTTCGAGCGTCCAAAGCGATGAATCGCTGTGAGGCTGCAGGTACTCGTCCATATACTCCATTTCCAAAGGGCTACGCGCTCAACTTTCCCGCGAGAAAGGCTCTTTCTCACCACGCACCCACTCCACAGCCACGACAATCCATACTCCATCTCAACCATGGAGGGCCCCGCGAAGCCCAAGCTACCAGACGCGTACGCGGACCTCGAAGTGAGCCCAGCAGCCTCTAGTGCCGAGATCAAGACCGCCTTCCATCGTCTCGCTCTCCTCCATCATCCCGACAAGAAGGCGCCAGGCGAAGCTGTCGATGCAGCTGACTTCCGACGAATCCAAGAAGCCTACGACATTTTGAGAGACCCCAAGGGCAAGACGCGCTACGATCAGTCGTATAGCAGTATAAGGACACAATGGGACACCTACAGGAGGGAACATGCCGAATACATGCGGAACCCGAATGCATGGCGGCAGAAGCAATCCGCAGAGAGGATTCGTGCTCAGGCCGAATCGGATCGCCGTGCGGCGGCCATGCGAAGGGCGGCGCAGGAGCAGGCGTGGGCAGAGGCAGAGGCTTTCTACGAGGACGAATACGAGTACGAGTACGACGACGACAGTGATTACGAATACTACTCTGGCGGCTATGGCCCTAGCTTTGGAGGTGGCCGCTTCGGTGGTGGCTTTGATGGCTTTGACAGCTACGACCCGGAGGAAATCCTCTTGGCAGAATTGCTCCGAAGACGCGAGAACTTCGAAGCTGCGGCCAGACGTAATGCTGAAGAGAGGGCCAGGAAATCGGCGATCGAAGACATCAACAAGCAATGTGTCGAGCGACTGAAGAAGGCGGCTGCTGCTCGACAAGCAGAGGGTGATGGTATACGTATCGTCGACCCAGAGAAGAAGCGCGCCATGGCGCAATTATGGGTCATAAGCTTGCAACGCGATTATGATTCTGAACTCCGGAAGGCTGGGTTACGTCCCGACGACGACTCCGTTATGGATCTAGGGTGGGAACGGAAGAAGGGGAGACAAACTTGCCTGTTTTGCGCTGCTCACGTACAGGAATACAGTTATCGCTGTCCAAGTGGCGGAGCTGTTGCCTGCCGGGGTTGTAAGAAGAAGATCGAAGCGTCATCCCCAATTCACCCGTTCAATTTTCACGGCACTGGCGTGGCGCCAAAGAAGGGGAAGGGAAAGAAAGGCAAGGGCGGAAAGAAGCCTCAGACGACTAAACGCCACTCTGATCCGGAAGGATCCGATTCGGTCGAGCGAGACCAGGACGAGGAGCAAACCAATGGAGATGAGGCAGAGCAACCACACAACGCGGAAGAGGAGGCCGCAAAGCAGGCAGCGGAAGAGCTTGCGCGTAAGGAAGAAGCCCAGCGACAGAAACAGGAGCGCAAAGCCGAGGCGTCACGACGAAAAGCAGAGCGTGAAGCACAAGCCAAGCTCGCACGAGAAGCTGAAGAGAAGGCTGCGCAAGAAAAGGCGGCGAAAGAAAAGGCTGAAGCGGCCAAAGCTGCACGAGAACTCGCAGCTGCGCAAGAAGCTGCCCGTCTAGTAGCCGAAAAGAAGAAGGAGGCTCGTGAGCGGGAAGCTAGGGAGAAGAAGGCTGCTCGGAAGAAGGCCACGAAAGAGAGGGCCGCTCTTGAGAAGGCAGCACAGAAGAAGGTTGCTGAAGAGAAAATAGCAGATGGTCACGAAGTCCAAGAACTGAACGCTTCCGAACAAGACGCCCAGAAAGTCCAAGAGGTTGCCGAGCAAGAAGCAAAACAAAAGGCTGAAAAAGAAGCGAAAGCGAAGACCAAGCGTGAGGCAAGGGAGCTTGCTGCGCTCGAGGCGAAGGAGCGTGAGATACGGGAAGCTGAAGAATCCGCAGCACACGAAGCCCAGGTGCGTGCAGCACGGGAGGCTCAAGAGCGTGCGGAACGTGAAGCCAAAGAACGAGAGGCCGAGGTACTCGCAGCACAGGAGGCCAACTTTCGCGCCGAACTGGAAGCAAAAGAGACGGCAGAACGCGAGGCCAGGGAAATGTTAGAGCGCGTGGCCAGAGAGACAGTGGAACGTGTTACTAGGGAGACTATAGAACGTGTCACCAAGGAGACGGTCGAGCGTCTCAACAGGGAAATGGCAGAGCGTGACGCAAAGGCTGCTGCAGAACAACAAGCCGAAGCCTTCGCAGAAGCAGGCAATGCGCACGGGTACGAGAACGTAGAGCAGGTGTTGGAACCCTCGTCAACGAACACGCCGCCCGTCGAGCCCTCGGTCGCCACCGATTCAGCATTTTCCAAGAAGACCAAGAAGAAGGGGACTCGTCCACCAGCCACCTGCTACACCTGTAACGAGCAAGGCCATTTCGCCCGCGACTGTCCCATGAAGCCTGTCGAAGCCACCGCCAATAATAAACCCCAATCTCACGCTGGTACAGGGCCTGCGCCGAAGATTGAGGTGACTAGTAAACCGCCGCCACCAACACCTGCACCCGCAAAGGTTGTGGTTAAGCTTCCAGTCCCTCGTAAATCCAAGGCAAAAGAGGTTACGAACAACACCACTCCTGTGACCCGCGAGACCACTGCATCTTTCACGAACGCGTCGACTCAACAGTCTGCTAAATCAATCAGAGCGCCAAAGAAGAAAGCTTTACGTCCAGCGCCTCCGGGGGGCCAAGGTGTCAATAGCGTCCCTACTTTGATTGATCAACCCTCCATTCTGCCTCCCACCAACGGTACCTCAAACGTGTCTTTTTCCGAGCAGACAAGCAAGCCAGCCAAGAAGCCGAAGGTGAAAGCCCCGTTGGCTTGTTATGTTTGCAAAGAGGTAGGACACAAAGCGAAGAGCTGCCCTGCACAGCATGAAGGACACATGTTCGATGTGGTCATGTAAAGGCATCGCCTCGTCACCACACGGGATATAAAGTGCTCTGCATGGCGTGGAATGTATGGAATTTGATTTGATGATACCCCATACGATAGATCGGTAAACAGACACAAAAGCCATAACTAGCGTAAAAATATGAACAACCTCCTAGACTCAAACCTCGAAACAATGTCAATGCCAAGTACCACCGCCATCTCACTTTCTACAACTCATTCCTCTCACTCTTCGCCTTGACCTTGAGCGCCTCCACCGTAAACCTAACCTCCTTCTCCCCCGTATTCGTATGCCCAACCTTCCCAATCACCGCCCCATCCCTCGGCTCATTAGAGTAACTCTCCAACCCATCAAACACACCCTCACACCCCGCCTCCTCAGCATCATCAACCCACAGCGGCAAAATCGGGTAAATCGCGCCCGGCGCAAAAAACACCATATCATCCTGCACACTATAATGTCTCTGCAGCATCTCGGTCTTCAGCCACTCCCGCACTTTATACGGCATATCTGCCATGTTCATCTGTATGAGTTCACGGCCGGTGCCGTGCACGTCGATGCCGCCCCAGGACCCCGCGTAGAGTTGCTTGTTGTAGAAGACTTTTAGTTGGGGGGCGGCGTCTTTTAGGTCCGGGTAGAGTTCGTTGAGCTTGTAGATTTTGGCGTTGTAGGTGGATTTGGAGTGGCAGTGTTGGGTGTAGGGTGAAAGGGTTGTGGCGTCCCATTGGGCGGTCCAGAGGGCGCCTACGGGGGTGGGCTCGTCGGCGGCGGGTGTGGAGGATGGGGGTGAGGCGTCTGAGTTAGCGTAGGCGGTCACTGCGAGGAGCGCTGGTGGTAGCAGCGAAAAGAACCGCATGTTGAAGTTGGCCCGATTTGTGTATGTCGAAGTGAAGTAATGCCAGACGATCTGAGAATGCAGTCTTGAAGGTTATGGCGTGCTAATTGCGTGTAGAGTCTACAGCGTATCGCATTCCAGTCCCAGCTATATATTCCATCATGCATTTTTCTTGCGTTCTGTCCTTTTCACTTCGCGCGAGGTCCCATGACGTCTCCGCGTTGATGTTCCGCTTTCCATATTAAGGGCCAGGGATGTTAGCGACGCGACAGGAACGCGATAGATTAAAAGAACACGGTGGAGGGACACTACAATGCTGATCGGCATGAGGTTCGCCGAGAAACCGCCCAGTGCGACTCGTTTCGCGACTTGATGCTTGTGCTTCAGGATGGCGGAGGTTGGGGTGTGGGGGAACGCGGGGTGACGACTGTCGCCGAAGAGGCAGCGCCTGCACGTGCAGACGGGCTGAGTAACGCCGCTTGTCTAGATGAGACAGAATTCTCGCTCTTGTCGTATCCCTTCCTCAACTTCCCTTACGAGCTCGCCATTCATGATGCTGTCGACATAGGCTTCGCCTAGCATGAGATATTTGTCGCCTTTCGGTCGTAACACGCATGGCGCATCGGCCCCGTAAAACACCACGACAATATCACCCTCACGCATACACCCTGGGCCAATGCCGTAGTCTTTCTTGGATGTCCAAAAGAAGCGGTAGCCGTGGCAATGGACCTTTACTTTCTCGTGGTATTGAAGTGCGTCGCCACTCAAGCTGTCAGAATTCGCCTTTGGGTCACGGCACCACTCTAGATAATGTCTGAATGCCTCGTAATGGGCGCAGAGTGATTGATCATCAAGCGAGTCGAGAGATTGGTTTACCGTGCTAAAACCAGTAGTTAGTGTCCGAGCTAGCACAGGTAAGGTCTTGTCGCTCATGGGATCGTTCCAATCGATCCCTTCGTAAAGCTCAACGACCTGGTGATACATTCGTAGTCTATTAGAGTTAGGGTAATGGAATATGTCGAATATGCTATCGAATGCGGTTACTTTGGCGTGAAATATTCCGGTGAGACATAATTGCTCGCCCCCCGGACCTTTTGTATCGACGATCTGGGCTTCACGTCCGCTACAGGCGCCATATCCAGGAACCACAAATTGGCTGCCTATCCGAGCAGCGAGAAGAGGAAGATCCCAGCGTGGTGCCCATGACCGGTATCCGTCCTCTCCGTCGTAATCTGGACGATGTACTACGTCCGCAAAGACCAGTAGGTGCTTAGTACTGGTGATGGTATGTAATGCTGTCTCAGCAAAAACGAGAGCAGCACTCTTCTCGTAGTCTGGCACCATTGAACCACCGTCTGCCTCAGATCCAATAAGACCGATCAGGCCATACACCTTGTCCCTCGGATCAGTCGATTGGAATATGCGGAACTCTGATAATGTTCTGAGGAATGACCAGCTAATGGTGTCCCACTTGTAGATGATGTCTGCGTTCCCTTCACGGACATCTTCTAGTGCGGTTCTTGAGAATTTTTTGCTGTCGTCCATCGACATTTTCTTGTTGAAAATCCATAACGCTGTCAAACCGACCTCCGGCCAGGGTAAGTATTGCTCGCCCCAAACTACTAGAGCATGTTGCGCTAACTTGATTTCCTGTATACACCAAACTCTCGAGAATAGTGGGCGCTTGAACAAGTTCGTCAGACCCCTGATTACTATAGGTGTGAAGATGGTCATTGGGATTTCGACTGCTTCGTGGGTTGCCCTGTCGTCCAGATCCGTATTATGTTCCAAGCTGAACTCTCTGCATGCATTCGCCACCGTTTTGCAACACTCAAACGCTCCCCGGATGACGCTCTCATCACCGTGGCCGAGCCAAACATTGACCTTTGTTGCCTGCGAGAATATCTTGCTCATCAGGGGAACTTGATGGCTTTTTTCTTGGTTGTCATTCTGATTGATGCAAAGAGCGTCAGCCCATATGATCCGAGTGGTATGCTTGAGTCTCAGCCTCACGAGAGCATACGAAAGTTCTGGTCGAATGATGAGACGTTTGCCGTTGCATACAATCATGACGCTTGATGGATCAGTTCCCCAAACGTACGATAAAGCTTCGTAGACAGGTGCGTCATTGAGGCTGATAAGCTTGAGTTTGCATTCCAGTTGTCGGTCTCTTTCGGGGGAAGGTCGAATGTGAAGAACACGGATTTGGGATCCAGAAAGTAGTCTCTTGGCGTAGACTGCGGAGGCTGGCCCGCTATCTGATGCAGACAATGTACCCTGTGGGTGCCTTGAGGAGGCTGGTCCGCTATCTGACGCAGACAATGTACCCTGTGGGTGCCGTGAGGAGGCTGGTCCACTACCTGGAGCATTCAATGTAGCTTGTGGATGCCTCGAGAAGGCTGAGCGGACGTCTTGCCCCAGACGCCTGAGCGTAGCTAGGCCGCGAATCCGATGATGCTGTGCGTCGGAAGGCATCGTCGTAAACGAGATAGTTGTACACGATCCAAAGGTATGGTTTATGTAGTGCGATGATAGTTAGCGGGGTAGAGTTCTATGTCAGATGGAAGGAAGGCATCACCACGCTAGTAGGATGGCTTACACCTGGGCACTCGACCCCGCTAGAAGCATGCCTCACAGCCTTGCACAGCGGCCCCAACATGAACATGTAATAAGTGGCATGAGAACGCGTCCGTTTGAGAAATCTATTATGATCATTATGGCCAATTGAAAGTCTTTCGCCGCTCCAGTCTATGTTTGGTAATCGCAAATGCTCTTCCTCATAACTAACCACCATACGTCTCGTATCTAGACCTTGGTATTCCTCGCAAGTGGCTTGAGTCCCGGCAGCGCAACAACAATGATTGAGAGAGTCATCTCCACCATGCTCAAAGGATCTGAAAGAGACAGTGTTAGCCTGGTTGTCGCGCACGGAATATGTCGCACACAGAATGGTGAACTTACAAACGAGGTTCTCCTGCCCTGTTCCAATCTTGAGGCAGGCGAAACGCACAATGCTCGACGCAATAGTGAGCGCACCGAGCGCGAATGTAAGACCAACACCAGCAGACGACCTCAATACACCCTTGACTAGAAGCACAACAGGAACGGCGTAAACTGCCAGGTAGCAGGCCAAGTTGAGAGTAAAGTTCAAGATGAACGGCTCTGGCGCGTAGAAAACGGAGCAAGCGCCCTCTTCCTGAGACCACTGCACGGATACAGGTGTGCCGCAGAAGAACGTGTCGTCGAAGAGGATAGTCAGGTAGCTCGCGACGACGAAAGCCGTGATACCGAAGAGCATCTTGCGCAGTCCCGGGTGACCAGCGAGGTTGAAAAAGGCCCAGTAGAACGCCAGCATGCTGAGTTTGGGGAAACCCATTCCAACATCGTAGAAGTAGTTCGAAGCGAATGAGATCTGCGCAACGTGTTAGACGCGCACCGAGTGTGACGATCAAGAAAACAACTCACCTTAGACAGCTTCTCCGACGTCTCATACTCATCCAGCACACCCATCTGATACGTGAGTGTATCGCAAATAATCAACCCCAACGCAACCAGCGCAGAAGCCAACAACAGATAATCCGACGCGTCCAGCCTCGAGCGCAGACGAAACAGACGCGTGTACATGCGCGCCGCAACGAAACAGTATGCGAAGATCAGGAGGATCCATTCTGAGATCTATCACAATTGTGACAAGTCAGCATCGTGTTTCCTCTTCGTAGATCAGTTTGTTGTATCACCAACTAACTTACCATGCAGTCTTTCCCATCAATGTAGTGTGCCATCTTCGCTGCTGCTGTGGTGTGACAGAGCAGCAGTCACGAAACAGTCAGGATAAAAGCCGTTGGATAGATAGTTGCGCCGCACTTCGCTTCAATCAGCGTACTGCAAGGAGTATGTATATTGAGCCAATTCCCATAGCATGCAGGGTACTATATTCTGCCGCGCTTCCATTATACCATAGCTTCTGAGGGTATGTCTGGGCGAAGAATTCTACCGCCTATCATGCGAAACTGGGGTCGGACTTCTGTCCTCGAATTGTCGAATCGCATGGCAATGGGTGAGCCCTGCATGCAGGCGCGCGGAAGTTTGCCTGGAATAGAGGCGTTCTGGCTGCCGTGTTAGATGGGCTGATTCCAACTGTGACCCTTGCGCTTTACACACGGCTGTACCGTGTCGGTGGGTTCGGTCCATGGTGGGAGCGGCTTTTCAGGCGCATGGGACGAGCGTGTGAGTTCTTATTTCCTGGGTTGTGCAACGGATACCTGATTGAGCATCAAGGCTGTGTAACCTCTAATTCGTGGTTATGTTTTGTTCGGCCCTTCGCTGCTGATAAGCTTGGTCAAGCATCGTAGCTTCCTTTGGTGCTCGGTTAGGCGAACCGATGAATTTTGCCAAACGAGGCCTCCCGCATGCAGACCCTTCGGCCAATGCCGATCCACAGCTTCAAGGGCAGCAATGCGGCACAGTCAAGAGTATTTGCAAAGGTGATTGAAACTCACGGAGCCATGGACTATTGCGGCTCGGCTGGAAGAATGTACCGCTCGGCGGCGTTTTTGGTGGCGTGTGCGGACCGCAGTTGGCGGGATGGTAGCGCAATCATTCCGGGTTGATGCGAGTGGTCAGCCCAACGGCAAGGGTCTATTAAGTAACAATACAATGTATGTTGAGATGACCCGGCTGCTAAAGCTCGTACAGAAAGATTTTGTTCAATCCTTCGAATCACTTTTGCTTTTGCTGCTATTAGCGACTAGCTACATCTCAATGGCATTGACTCCTGAACCACCCTCATGGGTACTTGGCAGAAATCTCGTGTTCCTCATCAGGCGACTTTGAAAACTGCACGCTAACGCGGCGCGTCTCGTAGATGACATCTTTCCTTGATATGGTGTTCAGCTCCACTTCGCTGCCCGAGTCTTCATCTGTATGCACGCGGGCGGTGTGCTTGCCTCTTCTGGAAGGACGCAAAAAGTTGTGCGACCCGGATGCTGGTGTTTGGTGTCCATATGTGCGCGACCCAGAAGAGTGCGATTTCTTATTCGAGGAGAAGAGGCTGCCGCGTCGTAGGAAAGATCTCATCGACGGCAATGAGACTACCATGATGGCGACGGCCATTTCGGTCATGGAAAGGACGTCTATACATGTGTTAGCGACAGTTCAAGTTGTGTTTGACTGAATGTACTTACAGACGTTGGTCCAGGCATATATGACCTCTATCGTTGCAGACCGAAGCACACTCATTGCTATCGTGACGATACCAAGTGAGAACGTCGCTACAAGACCCCAGATCTGGCGACGCCGGAGCTGTAGTGAACGAAGTAGGGGGAATGGCAATGCGAAGACTGTTGGTCCGACGTTAGTGATTCATGCGCTCTCTCAATGATACAGGATTGCTTACTAAACACGTCGGAGGTGATATTAAGGCTCCAGTCGATCCTGAAAACTTCTTTGGAGCTGAAGGTATTACAGGCTGCCTCATCAGGGGACCAATTCGAAGAGACCTGGCGCCCGCACCAGAAAGTGTCGAGAAAGAATGTCGATACCATGGCACTTGCAGTGAAAAGGGTCACTGCGTAAAGTGCTTTTCGCAACCACGGCATCGTCGGAGGGATGAGCCTATAGTATAGCGCGAGGATTGCCAACTTTGGCCAGTAGATGCCAGTGTCGTAGAATGCATTGCCGGCGAATTGCACCTTCTTGAGAGCGATCACACGAGCTGTCGATGCCTCTGCATCATCTGTCATGCCACCCCATATGTACGTCAGGTAGTCGGTGACGAAAAGGCCAATGGCATCCAGGATAGACGCTATCAAGAGACTGTCGCTAACGGTAGGATACTGTCGCTGTAAAAGGCGGGGAACCAGTCGACCAGAAGCCAAGAACATGGCCAAGGCCATAAGGGTCGCCTCAATGGGCTTTGCAGATACGTTAGCAGAGTCATATCAGGACAGAAAAGTACATGAAACATACGATTACAGCCTCTGGAGCAACGCTGTTAGACATGATGGAGTAGAAATGGCGAATACACCATGAAGCAGTCGACGACAACCACGCAGAGAGAAAAGAATCAGATAAAACCTATTATGTAGCGATTCCAAATGCGAGGCCATCGCTTGGGTGTATACCAACTGGTAAGACGGACCCGATAACACGTCCGTCTTACCCTCCATGTGGCAAAGGTACCTGATTGCTGCGATCATACCACTGGCACACCCGACTGCTCGGCTGGTAATATAGGCGGAAATAATCAGTATGTCTGCATGGCGGGACCTGCAGTCACAGAAGTCGTTTGGAACGACATGGGTATATAGGACAAGGCAGGGATCTTCGTTGGGCGGTATGTGAATGGACGGCGCCGAAACCGAAGGATCGAAGCCGAACCCGATGGAGTGTTGCCGATACTATGCGAGGCTGTATCTTGTGAGTGCTAGTATACGGTTGCTCCGCGCCGGAAAGGATATGGCTCAATGGCGAAGCTGTATATGCAGGCATTTGTGAAGATCTTTCCTGTTCTGCCGGTCTCAACGTCTTTTCGTGTTTCCAGAACGTGAATG